ACCTTTGCCATATATAGTTCTTCTAAAAGTTAACAGACAACAACTGAGCGAGAGGATGCATCAGGACAATGGGATTTTTGTTTTTTTGACATATTAGCAAATATATCATGTTTCTAGAAATCATATAACATATTTTATTCGGCCTACAAATGGGCCAATTAACAGTCACACCAAACGAGTGTGGAAAAAAGCCAAAGTAAAACATTTTTAGGCTAACATACCAGAAGTTATTGAACTGCAATTAAATCATGGTAAGAAATAAGTAGCCACATTATAAACCAATTGAACATATACAAATGTTCAAAGAAGCAGCTGGTAATAACAATAATACACTGTAAAAAGTACACATTGCTCATATGACTCGAGTGATATTTACAGTGTTATTCCAGAGGAAGTTAAGCAGCAGCCAATCATAATACAACGTGTATATTTCACATAGCAGAGTTGTGTGAAGCTGCCTTTACAGGAAAGACCTGTTATGTGTCCTTTAGCACAGTTGCTCGCTGCAGACATGATTTGCTTTTTTAATTATCGTTGTGACAAATGTAAGACTGTGATTATATACGTTAGGACACTATGTGTTTATGTTGTTTTCACAGCGTGTGCTCGAAGTGTTTAAGTGGTAACATAGTCTAGTCTGTAAGGCATTTATGTGCATGTCAGGGTTAGTTTACAGAGACGTTAAGTAGGAAGGAATTCAGTGCGGTTTTTAAGATAACCTGAGGCCTCTGCTCCTCTGTCACAAAATATGTCTGTACAAATACTTTCTATATTGGGTACAAATACATCTCCAGAACCTTACATTTTAAGAGATCTATTGCTAACTTTATAAGACATTCGTAGTTTAGCTAGCTATTTGGTGTATAGGTTTATGTGAGCTTGTCTCTTGATTCAACCATTACTACTCCAACTTGTTCCTGCGAGGGTTTAAACTGCTGAAAATCCTTTTATGGTTATATTTTGAGCGGACTACAGCACGGTCACATGACTTCACGTTAGGGCTGCTCGATTATGGCAAAAATCATAATCTCGATTATTTGGGTCAATAATTGATATCACGATTATTAAAAACGATTATCCATTTACTTTAAAAACATCAATTTATTGGAGAAAGAACATTTGAACAGTATGATTTGAACAGTTGATTACCCTGAACTTTAAGTATAATTGTACTGAAAAACCAATACAATAATCTTATTATATTAATAATAATAAAATAATCGTTTTATTTCGATTACGTTGTTTTCGTAATCGTTGCAAGCCATAATCGTAATTGCGATTAATTGAGCAGTCCTACTTCACGTCACCACCGCTAAGCTAAAGGCGGCTAATGTTGGGCTATAAAGGAACTACAGCACGGTCACATGACTTCACGTCACCACCGCTAAGCTAAAGGCGGCTACTGTTGGGCTATAATGGAACTACAGCACGGTCACATGACTTCACGTCACAGCACGGTCACATGACTTCACGTCACCACCGCTAAGCTAAAGGCGCTAATGTTGGGCTATAAGGAACTACAGCACGGTCACATGACTTCACGTCACCACCGCTAAGCTAAAGGGGCTAATGTTGGGCTATAAAGGAACTACAGCACGGTCACATGACTTCACGTCACCATCACCGCTANAAGGTCTAGAAGTCTAATACTGTACTTGACTCTTTCACTATACTTTTTCTGCAGACAATTGGGAACTTTCTTGAATGTGAACAGCAGGGAAGTTGTGTAGATAATTAGATTTTGGTTGTGCTATGCAAGTTTGCTTTTAAAAAAAGTTGAGAATTAAGACCCCAGGGATGAGAGAGAACAGTAAAAGGACAAGAGAAGACATGAGAAGGAGCAGATGGATAGGGGGGTTACTGTCACAAGATATTAACACATCCTCCTCATGAGGAGTTACCCTCCCAGACATTTCCAGAAAAAGTGTTGAAATACAGGAATTTTCACACCCTAACACTTTGGAAAATTGCTACATGTAACCTTGAAAAAGTTATTTTTGTCTGGCTCTTGTATGGAAATGACACATTTTTGTAGGTCTATGCTTTGATATCTGTGTTTGTGTATCTGTTGACATAGTTCTGGTGCATTCTTGCCACAGTAATTGGACACACATGATGAGGCTAAGGGAGGGGAGTGCTGGTAAGGCCTCAGTCCTGTCATGAGTCTCTTATTCCCCAGCCCAGTGTCTGTGTGTCTGTGTGAGTGTATTTGTACTTGTGTGCCTATGAGATCAAGCTGGTTGTGTGTCTGTGTGTGTGCGATAACACACCATTGGCATTCTTCATTTGTAGATAATTGAATCAGGCTATTTTAGTTTGCTCAGAGCGCAGCTGTAATTTGCAGCCGTTCTGCTCTTAAGGACCGGTAATTATGGCTTTTAGAGTCTCCCAAAACAACTCAAACGGCTTCAACTCATGACAGCTGTACATCTGGGGCCTAACACGCATGTGTGATAGTGAGCATTCACCCACACACACACACACAAACACACACACACACACACACACACACACACACACACACACACACACACACACACACACACACACACACACACACACACACACACACACACACACGTGAGCACATGTTTGGCTGTTAATTAATCTGGTACATTTTCCCACTGAGGTGGACTCAATGCACAGGCACTTCACTTGTTTTTTTTATTAATTCAGTTTTAGTTTTTTTTTTATCAATAGTGTTATTTTGTACAATAAGGCCTTTATTCATAAAAGACAGGATTCAAATGAAATGATTGAAATTGGATCTGAATATTTCAGGATTTTACAAAACCATAACAGGCTGTTCAACCTTTTAGTTGGCTAACTTACATTCTTTTAAAGCTTGATGACAATCCAACATAATACATATTTAAGGGAGAATTAAGGGAAAGCTTAGTAAGCATGTTTAATTTAATCATCTTACATTTCCGTGTTCCTTTTTGTCGTTCGCTTATCGGCTGGGGTTTGTCCTAACCTAAAAACAGAGCCTCTGTCTATTATCGCTTCATCACCTAATTTGCTTGTTGTTTATCAGGTGCAGACACATACATCAGAGTTAATGAAGGGATGGCTGTCTATTCTCCAGACGCTGTGCTGTCAGGCTTTAATAAAGTGCAGGCAATGTGATTCAATGGGCAATTTTCATGGGATGACAGAAATAGAATAAGCTTCCTCAATTATGTATTGAAACAACCTACAGTACAGGGTGGTCACATGAGACTGCAGCCAATCTACAGAGGAACAAACTAATGAGAGTTCTTATTACTGGATCCTGCATTAATTCCAGCTGCTTTTCTGATTGAACAAATAAAAATGCTTCCAACAAACTTCAAATTAACCTGCACTCAAAAGCACTGAACTGTGTTTTCATGCACGATTTGTTAGTCTGTTTTTAATGCTGCATTAATTCTCTGATTTGGTCGAGCTGCTGCTGCTTTGCTTCATTACTAGTAATCTCAGTATTTATTATCGGTGTAATTAACAGTTTGAATTAAATTGTGCACGTGTGACAGCCTCGTTATGTTTTATAAAAAGACTATTTTACAATTTTTATATCAACATTTAATGCGGAAAGGTCAGAATTACTAGAGCACACATTCATTTTGACAGGGATGTGAAAGTATAAAACTCAAGAAGCAGAAACGTAAGATTTGAAGTCATTCCATAAAGTGTTGTCCCAGATGTTAAATGTCCTGAGGGCTTTCGCATATCCTGGATATGATCATTCAAGTTGATGAGAACAGGCCATCGAAAATGTTCAGGTAAATGAGTTTGAATCGCCAGAAAAGAGGCGTTGTGTTGCTGATGACCACATCTTGACACTAATTTCGACAATGTCATATGATTGTAAACTTTTTGTGTCGTCAGTTAATCCTGAAGGCACCTAAATGCTGATGAAGATAATTTAGTGGCAGTCGCAGTTTAGTCGACAATATGACTTTCACAACTGGAAGCATCCAAGCAACAAGAGGATTATCTTCCCACCATCCGCTACCTTGAATATGGCACAGCCCGGGAAGCATATGGCTGCAATCTGTGGCACCACCCTCGGTACGGCCTTCATTTGCTTTTAATTAAACACATGGAGACGCCCCATGCTTGGGTAAAAACCTGGCAAGGGACTATTAAAGAAACACCCAAATGAGAGTTAGATGATAATGATGTTAGGGAAGCTCATGTGTCTAGGACATTAATATCCACATTACTTAAAACAGGACTTTGCATACACTTTATCGTATGTCTGGGTGTCCCATTACACTTAGAGAAAGTGATTGCAGTACTTATCCAAACTTGCAGCTGATGAGTGTAACAGTCTGCATCCTTAGTTGGGAGATGTGCTTAAAGCAGGGGAAAATCCATTGGCAGTCAGACATAATGTATCTCACATGTTTGTGCAGCTGGTTTAGTCGTATCATGGCTGACTAAGTGAAGACTCTCTTCCTCCCTGTCTGGGACTTATCCGACTGTCCCAGAGTAAACATGAAAACTGGAGCACACGCCATGGAAGTTGAGGTTAGGTGAAGTAAACATACTAATGTGCCAATCATGTCATCAGCATTAGTGCTTGAACACCTCTAATCAAGAGATTGGCGTTCACACACCTTGATCCAAGCATGTGTGTGTGTGGATTATGGGGGCTAGGAACAGTAATCCGCTGACCACATGGACGTCAGAGGCAATCCAATTTACAGTATGACACTGCTTAACTCTTACAGACACAACCTGTTGTACTGTATATATTCTGCTGTATATGCAATATTTAAATGGGAGAGGATGTCTTGTTTATGACCTTCTTATTGTCGACAAGAGGCTAACCACACTAGCGGCTAACTGACTTTCATTTTGAGAAGCAGTGCTTTGAGCTAAATGTAAATTAATGGGTACTCAAAACGACAGAACTAACATGACAATTAGCATTATAGTTAGCACGATAAACATCAGATCTGCCAACTTGACATTATGAATCTTATTAGATTGAGATTGACATTATGACCAAGAAAAATCGTAAAGGAAGACAACCACCTTAATGAATTCAGTCCCTATTGATGAAAACATGAAGATCCATGCCAAGCAAATCTAGTGATATTACAAATCGTACAAAAATATATATAACTGCTTTTGGTGCTAGAGAAAATAATAGATAGATTTGGTCATAGATTTTCCAGCTTGGAGCAAAGTGGTGGATCAGCATTGCCATCCGCTCAGCCGCTAGCATGTAAATATAGCAAGTATCACCAGATTTTAATAACTAAATCCCTGGACCGTTGTCAGTCGTTTCCAATTTGTATAGTCTGATGATATGAACCAGATCTTCAGTAGCATCTGTTTCCAGGACAATGGAGCTCTGTTCGCTCCAAGTGACGGCACCCATTAGGGTTGAAGTATAACAAACCAGCGGAGGGTGACTCTCCCAATCAACCTCTACACCACATTGTCATTCATTTATGCATTAAACAGATGGAGAAGGTGACTGTTACTCACTCTTGTGAAAACTAGACACATGTGTCTGGAGAGAAACACCAGCTGTCAATCAAAACACTCACTGAAATACTCCTTTATTCCAAATGCAGGACCAGGTCAGCCAAATAAAACATGCATATGTTGTCATTTTCTATCTCTACATTATAGATATTTAATACATAAATGATTCTATCAATACAAAATATAAAAATATGTGAGGCCTCATTTACAACCATATTTACATGGACTTCCTTAACTTAAGTGAAATTATTAATTCAATTATCTATGTACATACTATGAACTAAATACAATAGTACAGTATATCCAAATCACATTGCATGAAAAAGCTCAACTTTACCAATCTGACTACCTTGCACACTTGTTTGCTGCATGGAATTGAAGTTATGAGTAAAATAAAATTGCACATCAGCGTTTGATAAATGTTGTGACTTGATAGAAATGCGCATTGTTAGCCTTAATACTCAGGAGATTTTCTGAAACATTGAAATGAACAAACATGCATGCTTTTTCACTGTTTTACCGACTGTTATTCATCACTGACTCTCTATTACTTGATATTCAACACTCAACAACACTGAATAAATGGACCTTTAGTTTCATTTATTTTTTTTGTTCCAGATGGAAGATGTTAGTGTACACACGCTGGACAAAGAGTCATTTCCGTTGCTGGACGACAGGATGTTAGGAGATAATGCAGTTCTTGCTCTTTCTGCGTTTGCGGGTGTGTAACTGCCCGCTGTGGCTGGGTGCTCCGATCCCTGTGTTGTTGTACTTATGGACAAGCTCCTGGTTGCTGAGGTAGCGCATCTGGATTGGTCTGGGGATCGGCTCGCCCAGAAAGTACCCTTCATCCTCTGATTCTGAGGATGAGGAGCAAGTGGAGCACCAGCCGTCATCATCGTAATCATCCCAGGAGTATTGGTTTAAGCCAGTGCGCCGGCCGGCCCCAGGGTTCTGAAGAGTCAGGTCTGAAGTGGTCCTGGGGCACGGCCTGAAAGGTTGGGGCTGGTATCTTCCCGCCCCGCCCCGCCTCCACCCCCGAACTGGTCCCTGGCGCTCCTGGGCGGCGGGAAACGGTCGTAATCCTCACGGACACACAACTGTGGTCTTTCCTGAGGTCTCACTCTTCGCTCGGCCACCAAATTGAGAGCGTTTTCTGAACGAGACCGACGAGATCTCCGGGAGTGGTGGTGGTGCCGGCGCCTCTGGGGAGTGTCCTCTGGTGCATCTATCCTGACACCGGCACCCCTTCCACCTCCAGCGACACTGACACCACCCACCCTGCGCTCACTGATGGGTGGTAGACGGGCAGCGTTGGCACTGCTCACCAAACTCACCCTGTCCTCCTCCTGGAAGGTGAAACCGGGCGGTAAATGACTCATGCCCACCCCCATGCCAGAGGGGTCGCAGTACTGCAACTGGTACGGGGCTGACCTGGGAGGATTCATTTCCATGTAGGGCTGACCGGCTGTGAGGCTGTGAATAGAGCCAGAGCTTCGAAACTGCGCTGAAGAGTTGAGGGTGCCCATGTTACTTTTCTCCGACACGTTCATTCCAGAGTCTTTGCTCAGGTCTGGCATGGAGAAGCGGGAAAGATGCTCCTGACGCTTTCCTCCTCCATCGGCAGAGTGACCTGTAAGAAAGCAGAGTCAATTTCAGTTAAACTATGTCTCTCTTTGAATTTGAACTAGCACTTCTGCTTTAAACAAAACTTCTTGGATCTATAAAATGGGGCCAGACTAGCAAAGAGAGGCTACAACACCCACCTGTAGCATTGGACATGGCCAGCGACTCCATGGACCCTCTTGGGGTCTGCTCCAAAGGCGTCAGTTGTTCTGAGAAGTTAAGTGCATTGATGGGGTTCCTGCTCCTTGCCACCTGGGTTGCAGCTGGAGGCCCCACCTCTCTGTCCCTCTGAAAGCCGTGCAAACTGATCGAACGCTTGTCAGAGGAAAAGCCATTGTGGTGCTGAGAACATTGGGACATCTCTGTGAAGCTCTTCTGGGTCCTCAGCTTAGGTGGATAGTAATCCTCTGGAACCGGCTGTTGGAACCACATCTCATTCATAGATTGGCCTTTCAGGGCTGAGATGGTTGGTCTCTTTAAAATCCCGTTCTCCTTGATCCTGTGATCCTGCTGTTGATTACTCTGTCCAGAGCAGGTGGGGTTATAGGCAGTTCTGACATTGCACTGGCTGAGCAGCTGGAGAGGGGTGGGGTTTGCAGTCCCGTCTGATTGGGACTCATAGTTATAGATGTCACGTGCCTGCTCTTGGCTCTGCCATGCAGGTGGCTCGCGAGTCAAACTGGGTGTTTGGCTGGAGAGACTCAGGAGATCCATTTGTAAAGACAGTGGGTCCACCTCCCCTGAAAACCTCTCATTCTGCTCTCCCCCTCCACTCTTCGCTGCCTTGGAGCTGCGTCTCGACTCTCTGGTGGAGCGAGCGCTTTGGAAAGCCGAATCAGAGGAGTCAGAGCCGTTGGGCTCCTCCCCCAGGCTGCAGGAGCGGGAGCAGAAGATTTGGCCCTGCTTGGGCAGGAAAGGTCGACCCAGCAGAGAGCATTTGCAGCGGGCACAGCAGAAACATCCCTCTATGGCGTGCCAGTGCTGCCCATCATAAGTCATCTGGCCCTGGTCAATGCCTGCAAGAAGGATACACATCGGTTTATGCAAAATACAATTGTGGGACTTGTGTTCAAATGCACAATTAAAATGCAAAGCACTATTTCTTTATCAAAGAGATTGAAATGAAGAATCTTAATGTCTTTATTTGAAATGCTGTTTTATGTTGCTTGTTGAGTGAGAAAATAGAGCTGGAGGCGACTTAACTGCGCCTGGGGGCAAAGTCATTATGGAGCTTTCCCAGCATTGTATAAACACTTTGCATTTGAGTAAGCTTGCAGTTGTTGCTGGGGGAAAGAAAACCAGCTATTTGCTAATGGCTTCCATCTGGTTTGAGCATGTTTTTCTGATGGTTTCAATTTATAATCAGTTGTGTTTTTTGGCCAAATACTTTTCTATATCCTGTCAGACAAATAATTACAGAGCAAATTTGTTGAGAGGTTTGTGCCAGAATCACACCTGGGCATCCTGTCGGGCTGACGCACACACAGAGTTTTTACAAGAGGTGGAACAGGGCCAAGAGGTGTTAATATGAAGGTTCCCCAATAAAAAAGTTTTTTCTTTCAATGGGTTTACCTCTAACTTGACAAATGTATGAATGTGCATTCAACTGACGCTTGGTGCATGGGCTGTCAAAGAAAGAGATCCTAAGGATGAAAAGTCACAAAATACAGTCATGCCTTTGACCCAGATTGGTTTCACACTGCATGTTATACATTATACATATGTAGGTGCTCTTTAAGTGGAGGTCTCTCCGTGTTCCTCTGCTACGTGCCCCTGCTTCAAATGCCTGCGCATGACATCATTTGGTGATAAACTCCTGAAAAACAGGCCACATCCTTTCTAACGTGGCCCTTTTCTCCTCTTACTTGATGCCAAAAGAAAATAGGTCACTCCTCCTTAAAAAAAAACAAAAAACCTGAAGCCGAATAATGCTCCACTTAATTTTTCCATGTATTTAGCATTTAGCCCTTTTCTGTAGGCATTCCTTTGCTGCTGGTGATGATTAATGAAATGTGTACAGTGTATCAGTAACAGTGATAGATGCCAACAGCATACCAATGTGCTCCCCACAGGAGTCGCAGTACTCTGCGTAGAGTGACTCGAAGCAGGAGCAGCAGTAGGGCCGTCCTTCCTTCATGATGTAGCGCTGGCCCCCCAGCACAGTCTCGCACTCGAAACAGCAGAAGTGCTTCATGTGCCAGTGACGCCCCTCTGCTTCGGTGCACTCATCTGCAAGGATGATCTGAGAAAGGAGAAAGAGTATCGTTTATCACTGAGCCTCGGATGGTAAAACCTCAGGTGGGTTATTACGGGGCGCTGAATGACAGGACAAAGGCTCGGCTCGCCCCCCCCTCCATTTCCTACGCACCGCTTTTTCCTCTGCGGCCTAATACTCTGAGATTGTCCCCTTTGTCGCACTTGTGACAAAGTGTGGGAAGTTAATGCAAGTGGGGACTTGAGGAAATCTATATGGTGCATTTACTTTTAATCATCCTGCTGGTAAAACACCAGGGTGCTTTTGAAGTACTAACAGCGTCCTTGTCCCCATTAGCAGGGAGTGTAAGTCAGTGCTAATGGTTGGGACATCACGACATCGAGAGCTGACCCCATTAGCCAAGAAAAACCCTTGCATGTTTAAACTGGGCCAGTGTGTGTTGGGAAGCTTGTGAGCATCATATGACAGCATTTTGCACTATATTCGCGTGCATATGTGCAACATTTGTGTATGTAAATATGTAATAAATAGCTCTTCTTACACCATCCCACAGGAACAGTAGGTTTCATGAACAGATTTGTGGGTCTTTTAACACATGATTATCTGTGTGTGTTTGGCATGTGCTCACCTCATCGCAGGCGGTGCAGCGTGGCTTCAGCCTCTCAGCATGGTGCCGCCCGCAGTAGATCTTCCCGTCCTGGTAGAAGTAGATGAGGTCCACCAGGAGCTCGTTGCACATGCTGCACACGAAGCAGGCTGGGTGCCAACACACACTGTGACCAGCCCGTGTTGCAAACACAGCAATGTCGCCGCCATTTATCTGGCCTCCGCACTAAAGAGAAGTGGAGGAAAGTAAAAGTTAATCAGCATTTCAGCTTTTATCTGTACTTGGTCTCATATTTCTTTGGCAATGGGTTTTTCAATACCAAAACTTGGAGTAGCGGTTGATACTGAGTTGAAATTCTATAACTTAGATCCTGGGCAAGTGGTGGCTTTACTACAACTTGTTTTATGTGTATTGTCTTTTACACTGACAAAGACACAAAAACAGCACACACATTCTTTATAGTTAATCACTATGTGAGAGATGAGCCAGCGCCAAGTCAGCCAGCTCAACCAGAGATGGACTCTAATGCCCATGATCTATGGGCTCAGATACTCTAAATTGAGTTCAGCTTTAAAGGACATTAATTTAAATACATGTATTCGTGGGCATCTTATAGCACAGTATGGTACCAATTTCTCAAGTAATTGAAGTAAATCCATTTGATAGAGCACAGAATAGCGAGATTGTTGAACCATTTGTGAGGACTTAATTGGTCTATACAATTCCCAATTCCAAAACCTCAATGTGAAAGGCTGCACAACGTTGCAAACGAGAATTTGGGAATGTTTAAATGACAAATTGAATGAGTGCTGTTTCAGTGCTGTAGAGGATCTGAACTGAAGATGTACAGTTTTTTAAAAGTAACTTTTTCCCAAGAATATCCTGGTATCTTCAAAAGGTCAGTATTGGTGCTGTTACAAATCAAGTATATCTGATTGGTGCATCTGTTGGTTACACAATGTTGCATGAAAGCTAAAGTCAGAGCATGAGGTTGTGTTTACATGTGTGGCCCGGGAAGGTCACAGAGGGGTAGTCGAATGGCTGCTGGAGGACGTTGGCGGGGCAAAGGGGAGAAATAAAAAGTGAGTGAAATATGGGAAGATAAAAAAGGAGAGCGAGATTGGCGTGGAGGTGTAAAGGTGGAGAAGCCGGAAAGATAAACGAGAGGGAGTGCTAAGGAGACAGGGGGAAAGGTCGGGAAGGGAAAGTAGATTTAGAGGGGTGGGAAGATGGAGACAGAGCGAGAGTTACAATCAGGTTATCTAACTGGCACAAACCCTGGTGCTGCAAGGAGGCCAAGAGGGGGAGGGGGAATTCAATCAATACACACTCTCCCAACAATGTGCTGTATGTGTGTGTCTGCTGAGCGAACCAGAAACACAAGCTATAAAGTAGCTATACACCTGGGGCACCAACACAACAGAGAGTAGCTCCGTTTTACTCGAGTTGATCGTACACACAGTAATAAATGGCTAGCGGATACTGAAGTGCGCTGGTTTGTTGTTAAAAGAACACTCTCCATTGCCCTCTTTAGTCCCATAAGGCCACAGCAAGAATAAATGTTGACAACACATTAAAGATTTTATGGGACTCTGGGTACTACTATGAAATATTTCCAGAGGATTTAGTGCAGATTTAGCTGTAACTTAGTCCTCTGAGGTATTTTATAAGCCTTGTAAGTCTTAAGAAAAGAATTCTGTGATTGGCAGACAGCAGGGAAAAATAAGACACAACATAGACATGCGACACACTTTGAGGTTAGACTGACATGTCCAAATGTTATTATAAAAACCGACGAATGTAGCTTCTCTGCCCTTTATATGACCACATTAAGAACTCCTCGTACATCACTACAAAGAAATGAAATGCCAACAGGCTCTTTGTTGCGTCAGTCACGATTCATGACTTTCATTCTACCGGCCACATGACACACCTTTGATCCCGTCACACTTAATATGCTCCTGTCACATGGACGCAACGCAGAAATGACATCTAGAAGTGAGGCAACGGGTGGCCTTCAGATCATCTTTGATCTTGTCATATCCATTGACTGCTGAGGAAATAACACTGAGAGATTATGTATTTGATTTTTCTGTCAGCTTACCTGTTCGCAGATCGCCCCCGTCATCGTCACGGGGAACGGTCGGACATTGCCGCGGCCCAGATTCTCCCGTTTCCGTTGGTTACTGAACAGCTTCAGTTCTCTCTTCTCCTCGTCGTCCAGACCATTACAGTAGCGTACCTACAAACACACACACACACACACACACACACACACACACACACACACACACACATGCACGTAGCAGTGCGTGTGCATAAGAATGTGTGCGACTGTAGGATTAAGGCTAATCTGGCCATTCAAAATTGCTTAGGACATTCCTTGCATTACAGCGCCAGACAATGAGTGTCATCTCCAAGTTATTTATAGTAGCTTTTTTTATTACACTGTAACAGGGGGCCGGGGTATCACAGGGGTCAGGCAGTCCTATATGAATGTGATTAGAGGGGGGTGCAAACCCTGAGGGACGCAGGGTTATAAAGGAGGATTTGAGGACCGAGGTCAAAGACAGAAGACGACAATGAGGGGTGGGGAGAAGTTAATAATACACAAAATATTTTTTTTTAGATGGATGAAGAAAGGTCAAGATATTGTTCGATCGAATGAAAGAAACAACATATAATGAACACTTGGAACAACATGATCGATAGTTGCTGACTCGGTCACCCGAATGACCAATCTGTCTACAGAATGGATCTACTCACGAGAAGCCATCAGCTTTGTCCTTGGCAATAACACAGAGTCTGTCGCACAAAAACAGATTACCTTGAATAACGCAGTTACGCATCAGTAGATAGAGACCTAAATGAAAATATATTGCTTTTGAGAACTGGCATATATTAAAGTTTTTTATTTGTTGCAACATAATGTACAGGCATGTTTGTTGTTGAGATGCTTTTAAAACAGGAACATCTCGATGTAAGCGTAACCTAATTCCATCTGCTCTGCTTTGTTGGCTAAAACCTTTGTTGGCAAGAGGTGCTGGATCTATGTCCGGCAGCACGGCTCAGGACACCGGGGGTTCTAAGGATAGTCCGTGAAAGACTGACTGTGGTCAAGCACTGATAAATCACACAGCGCCTGTGCTTCCAGACACACACACACACACACACATACTGCTAATGATAAATTATGAAAACTGCTTCCAACAACAACAGGGTTACAATCTGGAGGTGAAAGGCACGTTGCCCCGAGGAAAATATCCTAAGACAAATACACACCCTCACACGTGCACACTTACATGCACATAATGGACGCAGTTGGAGCGAGAGCCAGGAGGAGCAGCTTGTGATAATAACTGTAATCGAAAGCAGACGAAACTAAAGACAGGGCAGAATTTCGAACTGTACTGAAAGGAGTGTTTTTAAGAGCTAAAGCAAATGGTAGGACTTCGCAGCTGAGTGGCAAGAGCGATCGCTCCACACAGCTGGTTTCTATTGCTGTTAATGGCCAAACAGCCGGAGGAAAGGACACCACCAGGCACCAGTCCTCACATTCTCTCAACAAGACACTTTACAGTGGTTAGTGGACATAGATATTATATTGTTGAGAAAACACTCGTAGTTAGGGCTCAACATGGTGGGAAAAATGGTGTTTTCATAGCGAAATGAGCAGATTTAACGGTCTGTTTTAATTCTCTGTCCTCTTTCTCACGTCTTCGCTGAAATTGGCAAGATCCCATGGCTTGACATTGCACAGTTGGGGGAGCAAATTCAATGCGTGGAAAAATTAAAAAGCATGAGAGATGTGTTAATTAAGCATAACACATAAGCTGCACTCAAAGTACTGAGTATAATACAATTTGACTGGATGTAGTAAAGTCTAAAGCAAAACTAGCAGCTCTGTGAAGTTGTATTTAGAAACAGTGGTATTTGCTTAAAGTAGTATGCTTAACTGCCCACAGTCACAATAATAGTGTGCTGGAGCATAGAAAGTATAATGTTTACTGTCGTCACCGTCTTATTCTGGTGCACAACTTCTGCAAATTAGCATCAAAAAACCTAATTGTGGCCCTGGCGAAGAAAAGTCAGAGGTTGACATCATTTTGCTGGTTTAATGCTCTGGGAACCATACATATCGGGACAAACTTTCATTTCAATCCATTAAACTGTTGTGAAGATATGAACCTCAGTCTCTCTGTCAGCAGGATTTCATAAAAACTACTGGTTAGATTTTCATGAAACTGGGTGGAAGGGTGTCGCATTGGCAAAGGTAAAACCCATTACATTTGGAACAGATACAAATCTGTTAACATTGTAAAATATGGCATTTGGCCTTGGTCGAGTTCTGCGCTCGCCAAGTGCTTTTCCATTTTAGTTAGGGTTGGGACATTTCCACCTTTTAGCCACGTTGTGGGCAATGCTAGAGATGTACAGATTTGCAACTGATCTGATGCAGCATTATCATTTAATGGTGTGTAAAGTGCTTTTAATAGCGTTATTAATAATCTTCCATTCACAGCTGCTGGATGTAATCTGGTTAGGTTCAGTTTCCATTGTCCTTGATTTTAGACGGGAACCTGTCTATTTGTGCCATGTTCCATTTTGGAACAGGTCAAACTAACCTTAGGTATGGTTCAGATCTCAAATCTGTAATTCAATTTGAACCTGGAAAGACCGAATAACCTTTGACTGCTTTTTATTCAAATGTTCCCAATGTGAGCAGTCTGAAAAAGCAGAGTTCATGTTGAAATTAAAATCAGATTCTGGTACATGCCGGGTAGAGTCATATTAGACTGCAGCTTTATGTGATGGTAAAAGACCCGAACAGATAAACAGACACAGGCCAATGCTGAGTAACATTCTTGGCCTTGACAAGCTGTAACTTGGCAACATCCAAGAATTTTATTTGACAAAGATGGAGAGGAGAGAGCAGGACAGTGGGAGGGGAGTGTTGGCCGGCCCTCCTCCACATTGCAGCTCGATAACATCTCCAACACTCTCAGTAATGGCTGTGTTTGGTGATATTTCAGCTATTGTTGGCAAAAATGCAAACACAGACGGGAGAGTTGAACAGTGCGAAGTTATACCTCATAATCCTCAGATATATCTCACTGGATCCTGGTCTGAAATCTATCGTTACAGAGTGGAGACTTTACACCGCTGCTGGCTGAATAGCAGACTCATTCACAGCCCCAGATCCCTACGGGGAAACCTAAAGCCACAGTTTAGATCCTGTAGATTAGCTTTGTGTTTACCATCTCGCTCTGTCTTTACCTCGTGCAGAGGAAGACCGGGTGTTGAAAAGCCCCGCATCACGCGTACTTCCGCTCCTCTGTGAGAGGTCACACAACATGTTTCCACAGCTTGAATGACTTGGACGTGAGGTTGGGGTAATTTAAATCGCTATAGTTATGGACATTTTTAATCAAGGCTGTCAAACGTTCTCCACAAAATAAAATAGAGTTATTTTAAAGGTTGTTTACAATTGTGCTCATGGAATAGTGCACAGCCAGTTTAGATTATTGCTTGACTGTTCCTGAGGTGCTATGACCACTCGACGAAAACCCTAATGACTAGGGGGACCCTGGAGGGGGGTGAAAAATAGCTTAGCTCATTCCTCGAAGGTGAACACGGGAGTCTGTGCCAGCATTGTATTGACCAGTTCATTACTTTCAGTTTATGAACCGCATTAAACCAGCTTCCATAAACGCATCTATTGTCCTATTAAAACCCTCCCACACACCTATGGTTCAGTGGATTATTGTATTAGAGGATATTCTTCGACATGTATGGGACCATTTAATGTTTGTGTATTACGCAGGCTTAGCTTAGTGGCCATGAGGGCGGTGAAACCTACTGTTAACATGTTTCGCGGGTGGAATGAATTGGAGATTAATTTGACTGCTGGAGCCATATAATCCGTGTTATCCATTAGCCCGAAAAAGGAGCATTCAGCAGAACTGGTGAGCTATCATATGTTGAGGTGCAGCTTTTGCAGAACACTTACATAATGTATGCATCAGATGCAAAGGTCAACACTATACTGGGATGTATGTTAATGTATAGAATTGTAAAACTGAAATCTATCTGTGAATGGAATATTTCCTCGTTTTTTGGCCTTCCATTCACGCAAAAAGGTTTTATAACACCTATGTTTTTGAAATCAGGGTTTTTAGATGAGTGTGACAGTAATGTAACCCAGGGCTCTCATTGTTATTTCAATCACTTTGTAAGAGTCCTGGCATGCCACTCTCTTGTTAACACCTGCTGTTGGACAACAAACAATACTTTGAACAGAAAATGATGCCACTTTCCAAGAATAGCACAAAGCTGTGGGCTCAGATGCTTAGATATGACTCTAAATGTAATTTTGTCTGTGTGGATGCAAACCTTTGGTAAACCAACTGCCTCTAAATTCATTCACACCCTGGTGTAAAAGGCCAATATACAGGACTGTCTCAGAAAATTAGAATATTGTGATAAAGTTCTTTATTTTCTGTAATGCAATTAAAAAAACAAAAATGTCATACATTCTGGATTCATTACAACTGAGACTGCCAAGGCACACNCAATATTAAAATAATAAAAGGCTTGCAATATTTCAGTTGATTTGTAATGAATCCAGAATGTATGACATTTTTGTTTTTTTAATTGCATTACAGAAAATAAAGAACTTTATCACAATATTCTAATTTTCTGAGACAGTCCTGTAGATCTTAGTCACGTGAGAATGTCACCCAGAGGGGTGGAAGATGCTTATACCTGCTCAGGTTTGAGTCCCGNCATTCACGCAAAAAGGTTTTATAACACCTATGTTTTTGAAATCAGGGTTTTTAGATGAGTGTGACAGTAATGTAACCCAGGGCTCTCATTGTTATTTCAATCACTTTGTAAGAGTCCTGGCATGCCACTCTCTTGTTAACACCTGCTGTTGGACAACAAACAATACTTTGAACAGAAAATGATGCCACTTTCCAAGAATAGCACAAAGCTGTGGGCTCAGATGCTTAGATATGACTCTAAATGTAATTTTGTCTGTGTGGATGCAAACCTTTGGTAAACCAACTGCCTCTAAATTCATTCACACCCTGGTGTAAAAGGCCAATATAGATCTTAGTCACGTGAGAATGTCACCCAGAGGGGTGGAAGATGCTTATACCTGCTCAGGTTTGAGTCCCGGTGGGACCCAGGCGTACTCCTCGAGGGCACAGCCTGAGTCGTCGTCCGAGGTGGAGTTCCTCTGGAAGTCGTACATCAGCTTGGTGACCGTCTTCTCCATCTCTACAGGCATGGCTGTCACAGCATGCTCCTCACGGCGACACTTACAGTGCACACAGATCTTCCTGCCAGGAAAAAACACAGAAAAAGAACATTAGTCAAGCAAATATCAAGTGTAAACTAACTGTTTGTTCAATATGCTCATACTAATGAAGGACGTAATGAAATAAGAGATTCAGATTAGAAATGCAGGCAGTAGTTGCTTGCCCTCTTAAATTACAAAGTTGTAAAGTGTGATTGGTGGTTTGCAAATAACCCTTGTACACTTTAACTCATTAGAGCCCAGTATACACCACCACGAGGGTGAAAACCAACCCTCAGTTTAATAAATCACTGTGTAAACAGAAATACATTTAGAGGGATAGAGTTTCAACAGAAACAAGACGTCATACTTGCTGTATGGGCCTCTGAAGCCCGTAATTAATCACTTAAATTAAAAATAACCAAATTACAATTTGAAAGGTAACCTTTTGATTACCTATACAAAAAAAGAAGAAAATCTGTCATGGACCCCCAAAAATTCAGTGAAACGTTGGACTTTTTTTTGAAGACTTTCTACACATGAAGGATGTGAACTCCACACAGTTCATAGGTCAAGGCTTCCCACTGCCGCTCTCACAGTAAAATGTAGGTACCACAAAGCTCAACAATCCTCTGGGGTACCAAGAACAAGAATATAATCACAAACAGGCTACGGAAATTAGCAGAATACAGCCAATGACAGTGATGGAAAGCAGCACTGTACAAACACACACTCCTTTATGCACAAGGTTAGTGAGAAACAAAAGCAGATGCTTAGCCAGGACAGTGCGTCACTGTCATTCACCTGCTCTTTCGTCTCCAGTGGTGTACAGAGAGTAATAAAGAGCCTTGTTCATGGACTCAAACAACTATTCTTGGTTGTTGTCATACAAAATATTGGGTATATATATATATATATATATATATATATATATATATTAACCGACAATATCTACTCCTCTGAGGATAACACAGAGCTTGGGAGACGTCTTGCAATGAGCCGAAGTGGATGTGGGTTAAATGGCTAAGTGCATGGATTAAAATTAAAATATAGGCCACCTTCTGTAGGTCTGTACCTGGATCCAAAGCGGGAAGGCACTGCATACATACAGATTTCAGTGTCCTTGACAGCTCTAAGCCCCTTTATGAAGAGGGAATCTCTGGGTAGCCAGAAGGTTGCATGCCACTAACCCTTTCTGCCCCTCAGGCGGTCGAAACCAGGGAGAGAATCCCATTACCTTTCCAGACGGACGCCTGCCTGTCTGTCTGACAGACAGCCCTACGGAGGATCTTAAGGACACTCAGGACACCGCTTGACAGACTGACAGCTTGGTCGGCAGAGGATCTGTTAATATTAAGTCCTTGGAGCGCAGACAACACCATGTGGAGAGCTGGCCAAATCTCACATTGTCCCTTTTTCAAAAGAAGCACTTCTTGTCCAAGGGTTAAGTCTTGGTTAACAAAGCACTTCTGTCTATTTGGCTTGGAGCTGATTGGTTTTGATGACAGAATGGAGACTAACAATACTTTCTAAGAAAAACAACTAATTGGCATACCAAAGCTGGTCATAAGACATATGATCCTTAAAAAGAAAACATACAAATGTATAAGTCTTAAGTTGGACGAAATCTCCATCACCACTTGAGATTCCTGGCCATACAGTCTATTACTGTCAGCTCCAGCTTTCAAAACTACTGATGAGAGAGGGACACTACTGTAGTCATTGTGGAAGGGCAAGCCACAGGCTTCACAAACTAACTCCATAAATATTTATGCCAGGGTACCATTGTCATGAATATGAATGGTTATGATAGAAAGAGCAGCGATGTAACAAAGGCAGACAAAGTCATCAAGCAGCTGTCAAGCAGGCCCAATGAGAAGGGTGTTTGGCAAACCCCTGTCCCAGCGGCATGTTGCTATAGCCAGGGGCGACGCAGCTTGCCTCATTACAACCCAGCACCTTCACCATCATTACTAATTTAAGGCTGATTATCGGGCTAACAGAAATACGTGCATGTACCAGAAAGCACACTCGCAGCGAGGATAATGATTGAAAGTGAAGGACAAAGACACCAAAGGTGGAGACAAAAAGGATAAGCATAATAAACACATCTCCCAGTCTTGTGATATGCTGCCAGGTGGTTAGTATTTCTGCCTTGGGGTAAGGGGGGACTCTTGGAGATAAGAGTATACAAATAGCCAGAGCTGAAGGAAAGCATTTCACACTGCATTCCTTCTGAGAGTTCACTTTACAATGTCCCTGCTCAGCGTTCTGCATATCTATGGGGTTCAACTTGGAGACAGTGTGGTGAGTGACCATTGGAGGAATTAACCTGGCACACACTCCAGAAGAGTCCAGATGTGCAATGATGACCTACCTCTAGTGATTCAACTAGAAAAATATCTGATCTTCCCACCTCAGCGCAGGCAGAGATACCAGTGTAGGCCTACAGGGACCCGTTTCTCCCCCCCCCCCCTTCTATCCTCATGATTTACAACACGCTTCACGCACATGCCTTGGACTTCCCCTTCACTGAAACCTAAACCCCAAGCTTCCCCTTGCAATCTACATGATTTCAATTAGGACAGATTCTTGGACTTAATACAACTCATCAATGATGCCTCGTAAAAGACTGCGAGGTAAAGTCAAGGAAGTTGAAAGGCGGGTTCTTTATTCAAACATGACTAAGCTTTCATCCCCCAGGAGATGTAAAACACTGATGCAACATTGGCCAGTCGGAGCGTGGAGTTTGTTCAAGACCTGGGGGGTATTGTTGTTGGATAGTCATCCCTGTGACCATGATGTCAGTGGACAATGATTCACCGTTTCGGGTTAATTATCATCGCCTTGCTCTCCTAGATTAGCCATGTAACCAAGGTAACAGGTGGTCTTAATGCGTAACTGGAATCTGATAGAGCCAAGTGACAGTTACATAGATTCGGTTCAATTGCTGTTTTCTCACTGCAGACCTTAAAGGTGGGGTAGGTACGTTTGAGAAACCGGCTCGAGATACACTTTTTGTTATATTCCATGGAATGATCTTAACATCCTGATAGCAATGAATATCGGAAGTGCTTTGACAACAAATCCATACAAAAATGTCATCTGTGGAAGCCGTAGCGCTGTAAAAAGCACGACCACTCATTTTAGCCGGCCGGGCTAAAATAACTGGATGGCCTACCTGCCTGTCAGCCTTCCATCTGTGCACAAACTTATCTCGTGCCCTCATTGGTCATGTGCGCGTTCGTGTGTGTTGGAGGAGGGGCTCTGTAAGGAAGTGGCAGATTTTTTTCGGCTGTGTATTTTCAAATTCTAGCGCACTCGAGCTGGTTTCTCCAAAACTATCTACCCCACCTTTAAGCAATCATGGCAAAACAAGGTTTTTTATAAAATAGAAATGTACCATCTTAGAAATGATGCTTCAAATCAAAGCAAGAGTTGACTCAAAGATATCTTTGCAAGGCAAAAATAGGGCTACGGTTGTATTAGGATGGAGTAAACTGAATTCAACCAAAGCTTAGGGAAAATATCTGATTCAACTGTATCCAAGAGCCAGTCGAGGAAGTATAGCCTTGGAGGGTTTGAAGCTGAAGTCTCATTCCTGAGCAGCTCCCAAAACCGCTGCAGCTTTTCCATGGCATCACTCTAGATGGCCAGATTAAAATCCCATCTTTAAATGGCAGCTCAGCGCAAAAGCAAAGGTTCGATGACAAGAGGGGAGAGCAGCTGGGTACACTCTTCAGCCAAGTCTTGTCTTCTGTTTTCCTGCTTTTGTTTTCTCTGGAAGAAGAAGTGGGGGAAGAAGAGGAACATACACTTTTCTCTTTAACGCCCTCTTGTTTGGCCATTACAACATTTCCGTACAGTGTTTTTTGAGCTGTTGTTGGAATTGTTATGGATTTCAATGCTTAGCACTGCTTTCAATTACAAACACACAAGCAAAGAAAGCCTTTGTACCTGAACCAGGCGGCATGTCGTCTTCAGAGCCAATAGGAGTTAATCACAGTTGAACATGAGTGGAGGTGTTCCCGACAATAATCAGGCTCGACAAAGACGTTTTCTATTAGCGGCCAATTAGTATGAGCCAGATGCAGCGTGTTGTCGAGGACAGAGATTAGGCCTGCATCCACCTGTCATAACAAATTATAGAGAGCTCAAGTTCAACTAGCCTACAGCCTCAACCTGATGGTGAGTTTCCTCCACTGTATTGGATAAAAATATAAAAAGGTATTTTGCATTTTTACCTACACAAAGAGGATTTCAATAGCCTTCAACACTGTGACTCCTCCCATGAGACACAACAAGTGTTTTAACGTTTATCCTGGAGGTGTGGGGTTAAAGAGAACTGTGAATTTAGGAGGTGGCGCAGGATCTCAATATAGATGCTACTATAGTTGTGTTATGAAACAGTAGAAGCCATTGGGTTTCGTACTTGAACCAAACAGACTAAAATATTTGCAAAATATTGACCTCTGTTGCTTCAATTTGAATCACTTCAATCTCTTTTGGGAGTCTCACAACGTCAGTGAAGTACAAGACAAAACCTCACTGTAAAAGTGCTTCTAAGACTTTATGGAGATGTGATAAGTTGTTAAATGCTAATCACTGGCTGATCTCTGAGCTTGGGTGAAATTACACCTGTATAATGTAACCTGTAGTACCTGGAGATTGTAGATACACAGTTTTTACTGTATATTTGCAAGAGGCTGGGATTTTGTCTTCCTGCTATAGCAACGTATAACTCCCCCTAGTTGTTCACTCCCTCTGTCTTAGAATTGAACGATACAGGACTTGGGGGAGAAGTGGAAAGCAAAACGGAGAGAGATATATTTATGTACCATCAGACTGGGACGCTTTTAAGCTGCAGCCATGACACTGGATCACATTACTTATTCATTCAGTGTTGACTTGTTCCATAAAGTGACACTTCTTTGGATGGTAACAGGGGGAGTCATGGAAGGGACAGGCTTCCAAGAGAGCCTCAGTAAAGACTTCAGACTCAGACAGTGGTAACAGTGCCAGATCATAAGCTCATTTATGACCAACTACCTATATTAAACGGCTTTTGAAAAGCAGCCACCAGTGCAGTACAGTTTTTTTCCAGAAGCAGTTGTCGATGTCAGCAATAATCTTGATCTGGCTATTAGGCTTCTGTCAGCTCAGTATTTGGGTTGCTCTCAGAACCGAGGAGCCCAAAGATACTGCAGCCAGCTGTTGAAGCCACACTATTCATTATCCCCCTGTCAGTCCATTCATGTGCTAATCCAGTGACCCTTTACACTGCCAAAAAGTAGCCATATAAATGGGTCAATTAGCCTGCATTGAGTCTTGTTATGTTCGCCTTAACACAACTGTTATGGAGCTGCGATTATGCCACTTGTTTCCAATTCAGTTTGAATCAAACCCAAGTAATATTATTAGAAAGTCAACTAGGAAAACTCAAATACAGGCTGCATCATTATAACACTTGACTAGAGAAACATCATAAACAAGTTGATATAGGGGTCAAGAAATAATATATTTTATAGAGTCCTAATGATAAATCTCTTAATTAACTAAGCAATCTATAATCCATATGGCACAGAGTCCAAACAACAAAGACTTTCATGCAGGAGAGCGCACAGTAGCTTGACCATTGCGCCACAGGGGGTGGGGTGGGGGATATAAACTGGTGAGAACACGTCTATGCAGGGAGAGCTACAGTGCGAGTCGGACAACTCTACATACTGTGTGGTATTTACATCCAAATAGCACCAGGTTTCAGCCATTAAAGAGTAAAGTGACAAAGAACGCGAACACTTCCAAAAATATAAAATCCAACTGGTTTTAATATAAGCCTCGTGACTACTTCACTCACACATTCCAAAGAGGGAGTAAAATAAAAAAAACTAATTATGTTTGACATGGAGTCATGGATACATTTGGGACTCAATCTTCTTTTCCATTACGCATTTAAAGCCCCAGCCTGGGTCGTCCGGTGCGCAACAAAACGGCTCCAAATGCATCACAAACACGATCAATAATCAGCTGCTTACCTTCTTACAAACTGCGGCGGAGGGAAGCCATAGCCCTGACCTCGGTGCTGGTTTTGGTGGTGCGGGTTTTAAAATACGTTTTCCCCATTGCAGAATTTCTCAAACAACTCCAACTCCACAGCTTTGCCACGGAAACACCCCAGTCTCACCTCGCTGTGTGGTGTCTGCACCCCTCCGCTACATTAACCCCCTCCGTTTAAAAGCCTTTTGTCACCCCCCTGCTCTCCGCAAACACACTCGGGAGTTGAGCAAATTAGGAGAAAGCGTAGACGAAGAGCCAACTTAAAGTGCGTAAAGAGATCCACATTTACACATCCAAAAAACGAGTGAGCAGACTCCGCTGAAATATTTGAAAATATCCAAAGAAATAAAACAGAAATCTCTCGGAAACGAGGTTACTGCTTTCTGCTCTGACTGAAGAACAGTGCGGACTTTCGCTGCTTGAAATCACGGAGCGCTGGAACCTCTCTGCTGACCGACCCACTGAATAACAGCGCTTTAATCCTGCAGCGAAATCAAGTCACTGTAAATCACATGATCACTTCCGGTGTGAACTTTCAAAATAAAAAAAGACATTGCCAAATGGATTGGAATATTATATTTGGTTGAATAGAAAAGTTATATATAATTATATAAGATTATAAAAAAATATTTTTGGATATGGAAATCTTTTTATTTTATTTTTTAAAACCAAATTAGTATACAGAGAACAAATACATCTAGCTCAGCGTTGGGGGCAACACAATTGTGGACCCTTCAGATGTTACTTTAGCCTCTTTATTTTATTATACTACAATATCAGATGTAAAAAATGTATTTCAACACTTCACTATTAATAATGCATTGGTATGTTTGCCTATATTTGGTTCATTTTCTGAACCTTCAACAGCGTTGGGCTTTTATTCTTTAATGTACAGTGAGCGGACATCAATTAAATTCCCTTTTATTGCAAAGCTTTTGTTTGAGGGCACGGTTGCTTACTTCCTGTCTTATGGGCCCTCTCTGGTTGACTTGACACACGCTCACACACACCGACCCTTCTCCCCCCCCCCAATTCCTCTCTGCATACTAATATCCCGGTGTGATGTCAGCAAGTCAGCGTCCCAACATTGGTGTAATTAGCAGCGTGAATGACTGGAGTTTGGGCGGGATTTGCATGTGAATTAAACCACTTCCCTGAATCAACTGGCCCATGGACAAGAAGAGAGAGAGAGGGAGAGAAAGAGAGAGAAGAGCTGCAGGGCTCTGACCTGCATGGGGAAATTGGGAGGTGAGCCCCTGTAAAAAAAACAGTGCTGTTTAGCATAAGAAGCGGACATTAGCTGGAGAAGGGACATAAGGCTTACAGACCAATGAAAATCCACTGAATCCAAAACAAATGTGAAGCCAATTTAGTTGGATTTTTAAACTCCAGGAGCCAATTTTCGAAGTGCACCCATTGTGTCCATTAGTTGTGCCAAAGATTCATTAACAGAGGACAGAGTAGACTAGCCTTCAATGCACACTTGATATACATAATATCCTGCTTATATTGTGTATATTGTGTTAACACAAAAGTGTTTTTATTTGTCGGACAGTTTATAGACTTTTTATCTTCACGGTCATCTGTATATTTTTCTTACTCTCTAATGCTGGTTTATTTCTATTTTGAGATGTTCATATTTCAGAATTGTTCATTTCTACTATTTTAATTTGTTATTATGTGCAATGCCTTGTTTTGTTTTTTGCTGTTGCAACAAAAACATTTCCCAAATTGGGATTTATTAAAGTACATCTGATCTTATCTTATAAATTACTACCACCAATGCATATGTAATTGCAAAGTATGTGTAATTATGTTATTAGATAATGTAGTAATGTTGGGCAATTTGTCGCTTTGCCATGCTTTGAAAAGTGATATAGAAGTAAAGCTTCCTTCCTACATTGTTATGATTATCAAAACACAGCTGTTATAACCTACAAGCCAGAAAAAAGCAGGGGGCAGATTTTTATATGATCAACACGTGGAGTTAGCTTGACAATTGTGCTGTTTATGCAAACAAATAAACAGCAGAATTGTTCCCTAACAGATTGCCACCATATCAGCTATTCTGGGCTCTCAAACACTCACATGACAGGAGCTTCTTTATGCTACTCCCCTTCTCCTGTTCCTACAATGAGTGGTAGGAGTGTTAAACAATGTCCTGCTGCTGCTCCACATTTGCATATTTGTGTAACGCAAAATGTGTCAAGAAACAGGAAATATTGCCAAAAGTTTTCTGGCAGTCAATTAAGGCTGAACAGTTTTGAGGAAGATTTTTAAAGGCAACTTGGAGCACGGATGGGAGTGGGTTAGAAAGTAATTAAATCAAGATTTGTCTATATTCTTCTCAAAGTGCCCCGCTGCTGCCTGTTGGCTAACACAAAACAAGAAATGTGGAGAGGAATATCTTATTTATTTTTTTAACTTCCTTTGAAATAATATATGTAAAGCTGCACAAGGAAGCATTTTCTTCTGAAAACCGCCAGCAGCTCGGAACGACCTCTTCAGTTTCTAAGGACAGTGCTTCAGTCTTTTTCTCCTTCAGGAACTGTTCCTTCAGACTGAAGCTCTGCTTTTCTTTTTTGTGTTCTCCACTCACACATGGCAAGGCCAACTCTTGCTCTGACTTTGTCTCATACATCTCAACATAAGACCGCGGCCTCTTTACAAACACAAGAATATCAATTACAGCTCGGGCTGTACTTGTGGCCTATCCACAATATTTTTTAGAGGACCCCTAAGTGAGAGTGTCCTCAGTTCGGAGCGACCACAGAATGGGTCAATTCTTGTGGGGCCAGGCATTTACCACAATAGGTTATTCCCTTTTTGCCAATAAACTGTTCCTCAACTTGCAGTGAGCTGTTTCAAATGCCCAGAGAGGAGTGAATAAAAGCATAGAGGCCAGCTTGGGGGACATACCACAGATAGCATTGCCTACATGAACTCCTGGCATGCACCAAGAGTCGCTGCTTGGTAATTTTAGACAGTGAGCCAAACAGGTTTACTCCCTTCCCAAGCATGCATAAGCGTATTGAGTTTTTTGTCTCTATCAAAGCACAGGATGAGAGATATTGTAAATACATGTTGCCCCAGGGGCTGGGATCCCTATCTAAAGTATGCAAGTTGTATGGCATCAAAGGATTATATCCTACAAGAAAATTATTCATATTTCACCAGGGAAGGAACTGATTTATATACTGCATGACATGGTAAGAAAAACACTCCTGATAAATCAACGCGTTTATCTCGATTTGAAAAGTAGCCAACATCCCAACATGGCTTCCTCATCTTTATTTCTCCTCTGCTTTTTTAGGAACACCAGTCTCCTCTCCTTTCATGTGGCAAATGCTGATGGCTATCACTCTAGAGTCAACATACGAGGCAGCTGGGACTCACCCCAACAGCTGATAGCTCAGACATGTTGGGAGGGAGGGAGAGAGCCAGCTTCCTCTCCATATAGTTTTCTATCCCCCTGCTGAAGAAGGTTCCTGAGCACTTTCTGACTAAGTATTTACAGTGCTGCAAATCCGAGCTCTAACTGGCTACTGAACTGTGACGCAACTCCTTTAACCAAAGGGTCTAAAACTCAGGCGGCCAAGATTTTGAGGGCGGGGTTATATTATCACACCATTTCATTCCTCAGAAACCTGACCTGTCTTGGACAACGAGCATAGTGAGAAACAATGGGTTTTCTGAGGGTTCACTGAAGAAAGAAAGTCCTGCAATCTCAAATACATTGGAGATAAAAGGAAGAAAAAGACAAGTGATACAATATTTTGCCTCATTAACCACAAAGCAGATTGTTAACTAGTTGAATAATAACTTATTTAACTAGAAGTAACAGCTTTCCAACATCCGCCAGGGGGCTAGTGCCAATCGCATTCACACCGCAGTACTTTCCCTGAGGCAAGATTACGCTGACGTCACTTCGTCTTCTTCTTCTCTGGGTTTACTGGCAGGCCGCAAAGCCACTTCACGGCGAGTACAAAAAAAAACGAGAGAAGAAGAACTACACGGGGGAGGGGGTATAAAGCCCACCCGCTGTACATTATATATATATATAAAAGGTAGGCTCAGCAGACAGACCGTAGTGCAAAGATAAAGTGTCACATGATTATCTAATAAATAGTGANGGACAGACGGGTTTCAGTTGGTTTGGTATCCTATGCTTACTTTTAATACTTGTAAATACAACTTTTGGCTCGTAATTTCAATTCCCCATTTCAGCGACCAGAGAGAGGGGGGAGGAGGGGGATATATATATATCCAGTCTCTGTTTGTGTTGCGTTATTATGAGATTGCTCTCATACTTGTTTGATTCTGAAATTGTATATATTTATATGCATATGTGCGTGTATATGTTCGCATCTGTTATTATTATATATATCGCACTGTCAATCAATTAAAAGTAAATATGTAAGTCGTCGTGAACACATCTGTCCATCAGAGAGAGGGCTGCTGTGCCTCCTGTCATCATTGATGGACGTCTCTTGACCGCTCAGAGGAGAGGAGTTCTCATTTCTCTAACCTCCTGCTGCTTCCCCTCCTCTCTCCTCGGTTCCCCTCCTCAAGTCCTCCGCTCGCATCTCCTGTGGGCGGGACTAAGTCTCGAGGATAGGAGTCGAGGATAGGAGTCGAGGAGGGGAAATTAGAGTATTGAGAAGCCTCTCATGTCTCGTTAAATATCCTTGCGTCAGCGTCTCACGTGTTGGGCACGCTCTCATCCCTTAACCCCGTGACGTTTCACTCAGAGGTCAAGGAATAGGAGATAGGGTTAGAATTTAGGAGCTGATTTTTGGATTATCGGAAGGCAACCAAGTGTCTTGCCTCTGTTGCATTCACTGAACACGGGAAATTACAATCCTGCCGTCCTCTCTAGTGTCATGATGAGGTTCAGGTAAAGCACGTTTAATGTATGGAGCTAAAGAAAAAACATCCGGGGCCAGGCGACGCGCCTGATTAGAACTTAAGAGTTCTGATGAACTAATTACTGGGAACTAAGTACGGCAAAGTACTTGGTGTGAAAGCACCTAATGCTTCTAAAATCGTTCTGTGTTAGAATACTGAAATCTGTATTTTTTAAATCTGTTTTTCCTTCTAATTTGTTATTATTTACATTGCTTTTTAAATCGTTCTGTGTGACACGAAAAAAATGGCGAAATCGTGTTGGTGAACACGAATCAATAGATTCATTTCGTTACAATGTCTTTCATAGGAAGACATTAAAGAATTTAACTAGCTAGCTGCTACTGCTAACACTGTCTCTTCCCTTTACAACTGAGTAATTCATCTTGACTCACGATCAAACCAAGCAAATTAGCTGGATAGTGAGGTAACATGTTTAACACTATTAACATTAATAAAAGGAGAAGTCAGTCAGTTATTAATAATTTGGAGCAGTTGGTTGATTTCTAATTACTTTACGAGTGTTGTTGCTTAAGCTAACTGG